TACATACACCCACCCCCCACCCCCCACCTCTACAAGTAATTCTCAGATTTCCCCAAATGACCCTTCTTTCAGTTTCCGTTTTAGTAAGTAAGTGAGTAAGCTCAAGTCTACATCCACCCACCCCCTCCTCCCACCCCTACCAGTAAGTCTCAGATTTCTCCAAATGACATTTTGTTCAGTTTCCACGAGCCAACTGTCTAGATCTGTGAATACTGGTCTTTCCAATACTCACAAAATTCGTCGCAAGTTCTGAGAATTTTGAATTTCATAGCCACTAGCATCAAGATGCCCACCAGTTGACGTGCAAGTGGATAATTCAAAGCGTGTGCGAAGGAAATATTGAAATTTGGAGACATTTCACTAGTTGAATGGCAATTATTCATGCGAATGAATGATATTGATGTTTCTGGTAGGAATGACGGCAAAACACATGACATATTTGATAACAAGCGCTTTGCAGGCTGCGAGGAAAGGACTAATTACCTCTAGGGGAAAACGGATGTCATAAAACTTAAAGCCATGTAATCTTCAATTTTAGACTCTGATGGTCGATAGGGCGTAATTCATCAAGCGCATACCACCTCGAAAGACAATAATAATTCGAGCAAAAATTGGTTTTCATTTAACGATCAATCGGAATTCGAGTTCGATGCAAACTATCGTCTTAGTGTAGAGCTAAAAGTCACCTTATTCAATGCACACCAAAAGCAACACATTGTTGTGGTATGCATCACAAGTATTGACAGCGAAATGACCTTTGACCAAGTTATGGTATGGAAGTGAAGGAAATGCGAATTTGGGATGAAGCAGTTTGTATTTGGGCAAACTACTGCATTTTAGCACATACATGGGTGATCCTTAATCCCTGGCGTAATGTTCAATGCACTCGAGGAAGTGCTTGTGACAGTCAGTTTCGCCTTCATCCACACACTTCTTCTCCTCAATCATGCAGTCGTTGTAGAGGAAATCACGAACGAAGAACTGGCATTTCTCCACCTCGTGTTCACATTCCTCTTTGCCGTGGATTTCACAAAGCTCCTCACTCTCTCACCAATCTTTTGATGAGATATCTCCATGTGTCCTTATTCTTGCCCTTATCTGCCTTCTGGCATTTTTTTACAATCTTTAAAACGTAATATTTACTTAATGGAGACATTTCTCCTTCAGTTATTTACATTGGCAGTTGAGGTAATTGGAGAGAAAAGGCGATGTGATCGCACAGAGCTTACAAGGTTCTTGATGCAAGTAACACGGGCATGATGATTTGAATTGGGCATTCGATTCTCTTCAAAATATGAAGCTGAGTTCCTCTGATATGAAGTCCTTTCATCTCATCGAACAGTCCTACATGGGGAGAATTCTTACAAAAATGTTAAAAAATATTCAGAGAAGTTTGGTGGCTTATTGTTAGTGAAATTAAATTTCAAAATCCTGATCTGACCATTTCCTAACCCCGATTCTAAATAATTCGGCATCTCATTGGGCATTCTTGCCACGTCGTCGAAAAGAGTCAGGAATTTGAATATTTCCTGTTAATTCCCTCTCACTTTCATTTTGATTGGTTAATGGCTAGAAAACAATAGGAGTGCAAAATACCACTGAAGGCTATTGGCCCAAATCAGAAGCCAATTTTCCTACCAAATTTTATCTCCCTCCGATTCTTCCCCGATTGATGTGGCTTGTATTGCGCCTGGGCATTAGTTTTGAGCTGTCCATATTTTCTAATTGCCACATTATCGGAAATAAACTGAGTGCGTTTTCTGACTTAGGCCAAATTGATACTAATATGGAATTCAGTAACACTCATTATCCCTTGAATTCGGAAATGGGAAGGTCGCTTTGCTCAGATGACTTTTATTTGAAATGAATAATGTAGTGCACGAGGGAGCACCGAAAATAATCGAATGAATAGCATGAGAGAAATAAGTTGCAATATCACGTCTACCAGAGGAAAACGAATGTTGACACGCGAAGTCCTGAAAAGTCTAGTTTCGTATTCAACTGAAGTAGCTATTGAAACCTATTCGCCTTTTTTGGACCATGGTGACTTGAAATAGATTAGACCCACCCTTTTATTACTTTTTGGTGCTAACGATGTGGTCTATGGTATTGAAACACTAACTGATTTCTTTTTATTGGTAGAGGAGCTATTAAGTAATAGATATGGCCACTTTCCCACTGCATGAAGAAAATGGTATTGAGTTGAATCAAGTAGTCATTTATGATATACTATGAATTCGATGGATCACTTTTCATCTAGTCGTTGCGTGGGGTTCGACAAGTCCCCTCAGACTCCAGCCCCCATCCACACGCCATTAGCTTTGCCTTTACTCATTTGACATGTTCTAATGTGCTTATCCATTTGCATGTCATCCACGGAAATATAATGCATAAGGTGGGTGTGTTTTCATATTTTAGAGTAGCAACTTTGAAGTTGTGAGTTTCGGTTTCCTCGGCGCGATTAACCCGACATGTCTGCAGACAAGCCTCATCTAAGGTGATGCATGAAAAGCGATGATTTAGCGTTGGGTTGGACGGTCTAAAATGAGAGAGTGGGTTAATGGAAAAATGGAATAGGCTGATGAAAGTTAAATTTTATGGAAGGAAGCAAATGCAAAATGAGAAGACGCACATTTGCGCACATTTGTCATAGAGGAATCTTAGTAAGTGACCATACGGATACCAACTGTTTGAGATTTTCGGAACACTCGTGTTAATTATCACACACCTTATCTCATTTGAGCCATCGTACTCAAAAAACCCCACCAACTAATGAATGTCCACATTTGAAATGTTAGGCATTCGCATAATCTGTATAGCTTAGAGATGTTGATCATCCATATTAAAATAGGCGAATTTGAACATTTCTCGTAGCTTAACATACCTCAAAAGTCAAGTTGCTTCGCACACACAAAAATAACCATTGGTGATTAAATGTCTTTCAGGCCTTTTACTGCCTCGAAATAGTATAGAGTCATACTTTTGTGACTTTCTGGTGCAAACGAAGTGTTCCATGCTAAGGGGATTGGAAAAGGTAAAGTTACTTTTTAGTGAAGGAATAAGCAACGATCTCACCAGATTGAGTAAAAGATAATAGGTGGATCATAGGGCTAATCACGAAAATACTACGGATTCAATGGAACGTCTTCACTTCTAGAAGTGGACAACGGAATAACAATGCCATCTCCGAAACACCCCAATAAAAAGGTGATAGAGGTGGGGGACTGTGAGGTGCCCAGAGTTAGTTGACCCATTAGGCATGACCGCATTTCGATAAGAATTCGATGAAATTCACCAAAACATAATAAAACGTAAATCAGAATGCAGTCCGTTAATGACAAGAGGGTAGTTGTCATTAACCGATCAAATTGAATTCAATAATCAATGCCCACTATCGTCTTAGTGTAGAGCTAAAAGTCACCTTATTCAATGCGCAACAAAAGCAACATATTGTTGTGGTATGCATCACAAGTATTGACAGCGAAATGACCTTTGACCAAGTTATGGTATGGAAGTGAAGGAAATGCGAATTTGGGATGAAGCAGTTTGTATTTGGGCAAACTACTGCATTTTAGCACATACATGGGTGATCCTTAATCCCTGGCGTAATGTTCAATGCACTCGAGGAAGTGCTTGTGACAGTCAGTTTCGCCTTCATCCACACACTTCTTCTCCTCAATCATGCAGTCGTTGTAGAGGAAATCACGAACGAAGAACTGGCATTTCTCCACCTCGTGTTCACATTCCTCTTTGCCGTGGATTTCACAAAGCTCCTCACACTCCTCAAAATGCTCCTCATACTTCTTCAAGTGCTCGTCGGCGTTGGCGCAAGTCAAGGCCACCAGACCGACGAGGAAGAAGACAAATGCAGTGAACACAACAGGACGTCTGAAGAACATAGTGATTCGAGTGCTTTCAGATCCTACTTGAACTCAATCTTCCGTCCTCCTCTTATTTATGTCTCGTGCCAACCACAAGAAGCCAATCAAATCACTAGTACTTGTTGCCTGAACTTTAACAACAATCGAGGTGTCCTTTTAGGATTTGGGATAGGAATTCAATTTCAATCCACAACTTGAATTCAAAAAAATTAAAATAATTCAGAGTGAAATGTAGATGGGGTCTTTCTGATTGTCATTTCTCTATTGTATCATTCGTTACAATGTCATTTAATGAATTGACTGTGGTCGAGAACTAAACATTGAAAACGAGAAGTCTCAATTTAAGTAGAAATTGAGTATTTTTGGACAAAAAAGTTTTGTGGATCGTGAATTCAATAGTGCGTGTTGTGGATTAGGTCATTGGTGTGTTACTGGGAGAATCTCATGTTGCCGGCCTGTTAGCAATGCTTCATGTAGCCTGTTCTAAAACTATGCGTGCCCCAACATTCAAAGGCTTGTTATTGGTGAGCTGGAGGGAGATATTCACCTCCTTAGTCACATTCCATGTTTAAATGGATTCTTGGTGTGTTTACTGTCAATCGCGTGTACAGTTTCGTTTTGAAATCAACTTGAAGTGGATACTTAAAATGGAACAAAAGGTTGGCTTATGCAATTCGGGGACGTAAGAATTCGGTTTAAGAAGCAATCTGTCGGTCGAAGGAGGCAATATGTCGGTGAACGATAAAAAATTGTTGTCAAATTTTACCTCGCTTTCGATTGCCTGTTGAAGGGTCCATTTCAAACTTTCGTGCGCCTCTTGCTACCATTAGACCAAGTGAATATACACGCCTATTACTCTCGCCATCTCTCTCTCTCTCTCTTTCTCTCTCTATCTCTCTCTACTTTATTATCTCCTTGCCTCATTTTCCAGGAAGAAGAAACATGTTCTCATCAATATTTGAAAGTCTATTACGAAATCTATTGATCGATATATGTGTGTGGGTGAAATTAAATAAGCAGTTCAGCTGATGTAATTTGTTGGACGGTGGAGGAATCTCCCACTGGTAGATGAATTCTAGAAACCGAACTGTCTATTTCCCAACTATTAGCGCCAACAGAGTCAACGAATGTCAGTTGTGGCACCAGTTCTTAACAGAGACCTTCTGTTGCTATTCTTTGTCCCTTTCTGTTGTTTCACTTCAGGTATAATTGACATTGAGGTGACACAAGTGATGAGAGTAGAAGTTTGGAAGGACAAACTGGTGAGAGACGGCTTTGGATGAGATAGTTAGGGGGTGTTGGATTATTAGGTGGATAAGGAAAGGTCAAAGGGAAAAGTGGTTGGAATAGTGTTTAAATGGTGTTGGAAGGAAGACGGAGGCATCAGTCGTGGGAAGGTGGGAGAGGTGGCAAAAAGATGTGTGATGTAGCTACTGGTTAATAGGATGGGTATAGGTGAAAACTTCTCGCACTGAGGTAGGATCAGCATTGATGGAAAGTGGTGAGGATGGAATGGGTGTCAAGTGAATAGAGAGAGGAATATTTATGTTATAGTTATACATGAAAGTAGTGAGTAGTGAGAAGCGAATAGTGGATAACTTCACCAAACTGTTCAGTGTCGCCTCCAGTGGCATACTGGACAAGTGAGGTCACACATCATGGCCACCCTCTATAAAGCTCTGTCATCATTGACTACTCACAATTTGCCTTACTCCCTTTCACACCTAAATGACCTCGTTGTCTGCTTGCATGTCTGTGAGTCGGTGTGGGCAGACACACAGCTCTGCTGACTTCAGTCGCGTTTGTCCGCATCGAATCGCAGAGCTCTTACTCAAACTAGTTGCATAATGCCTACTCCAAAGTTCACCACTCTTCAAACTTATGGCTACAAAATTGTGCTTCATGCACTCATTTATTCGTTTGCTCCATCTCCCCAGACGATTCAATGCTCGATTTCAAGTCCAGTTCTTATTGGGTAGAGAGCAAATTAATGGAATTAGCAGGTGAGGCAATGATCTCCGTCATCTTGAATTTCCATGGATTGCTGAATGGCGTGAAATTAAAAGGAGGAAATCATGTATTATGTGCTGTATGCTGCAATAAGTACATAGAGATTTGAACTAATCCTCTTCAACTTGATTCGCCAACTGTTAAAGTACTAGTGAAGTATGATGTGGCAAACAGGTATAAATAGGCCTCGACACAATGCTCTGCCAACAAGTGAAGTTCGAGTTCACAATGAAGAAGACGTCGACTCTCCTCCTTCTCTACCTCTTCGGAGTTCTTGCTGTCATGGCACTTTGTGCATCCACAGTGGTGGCAGCCCCCCACAAGTCGGGCAGTCCAAATGCGAAGAAGGTGCATGAG